CTACGTTAGTGTTCTCCAGGGGGGATTTTTTAGTTCTGGTTAGCATTGGTAATACTATTAGTTAAAGAATTGAAAGATAATATTAACACTTTTTTTTTTTTTTTTTTACAGATTTTGTTGCAGTAGTACATTATATTCGCTATTACAAATTTATAACTTCATGATGCTAAAGCGTATGTCATTTTTCTTGCATGATCCATTTGCCATTTCAGGGTAAACTTCCTGTTTGATGTTTGCCCCACCTTCTTATGTGATGTCACACCAATAAGTGCATGCAATTTTGATCATGTGGTTTCACAGCTAGGGCTCAGCAAACCTCACTGAGAGGCTTGAAGATTGAGGCGGTTTCAACAAATATAACTGTTCTATCCTCCATAAAAGACGGAAAATTATGCAAAAGAGCGACAGTTCATAGTCGCTCTTCATAGGTTCAATTAGAAATAAACAGAATTCAAATTTCAGGTTGACATGTGACAGGAGGAGGCAGGAACTGGGGACTGATCCGACAGACATGTACAGTTTTCCCATGCACTCATTCACTTTTGCCAAACAATTGCTCTCCGCTGATTTTGTCCACTCCACTCCGGCTGATAGGATCATATTTTACACTACATGCAAAGCTAATCCTGGCTAATTCTGCACCCTGTCCTTAATATCCCCTTATTATTATTCTAAAGTAATGAGATTGCCTATGTCAGATGCATGGGAATAGAAAACAAAATAAAAAACAAAGTATAGTTTATAAGTATAAAACTTTTAAATATGATGCAAAATGAGTTGTGACCAGTAAAACGTGTATGCTTGTGAGGCCACCTGACAGTAACTTGCCACATGCACATCTTTCACTGTCTAAGAGGAGATTAAAGTTGGAATTGACATGACTAATTGTGAAATTCATGTGGCATTTTGTCTTCACTGATCAATGTTAAACTCAACACAATGTCTTGGAAGAAGCAGGCTTTAATTTTGTGGAGTTGAAAAGTATGTACTAAATACGAAAGAACTGAACAAGAATCACTACTGCATGTGTCAGTGTAAGCAAAATATATGGGGTGCATGCTGCCTCAGAGCTGGGAGGCAAGAAAGAGTTGGCAAGAGACAGACTCTGGCACAGACAAGAAGTCTTTATTTAAAGGGATAGTCCGTAAATATTAGACATACGTACATACAAGTTAGGCAACTCGGGAGAGATGGCTTAATATGACAACACACCAATACTCGAAATGAAAGTTGCTCTGTTGTCCCGGGGAGCTGGCTCACGTTTTGACCTTCTCTCTCACTCTTTCTATCTGGATCTCTGGATTAGGATATTCCTGTATCTTATATGTAAATAATTAATCCTCTCCCTCCCTTTGTAGTTTTTTAAAAACTGTTTTACTTTAATTATACAATGGCCCTGTACTGAGATTGTGATTATTTGGCTAAATAATAATAATGTTCAAAGTGTGTGTATGTAAATTTCCATTGCTGTCAGAAATGGATTTTCTTTAGCACTACAGTTTGCAGTGATGCATTAATGGATTGAACAGATATATAAGAGCAGGGAACAGAGTCGTTGAAGAGATACAAGTTACTGAAAGTTCTAAACTATATATATTAGGTCGCTTTAGCGATTAGCTCAGATCTGATCATTTCTGTTTGGCTCATATCAGATTCCGGTGTGAACAGCTCATGGCCTTGAAGTGACCCACATGATGAATGTTGATGTGAATGAAAGTGGCACAAATCAGAATGAAAAAGATCAGATTCCATGTTGTCATAAAAAAAAACAGATCTGAGTCACATGAGCAAAACAGATTTGGGCCAATTGTGCCTGCAGTGTGACAACACATGCAAGACTGATTCTTGTTCAGTTCTTTTGTATTCAGTGCATACTTTTCAACTCCACACAATGAAAATCAGCTTCATCCAAGACATTGAGTGTAGTTTAACATTGATCAGTGAAGACAAAATTCCACATGAATTTCAAGATTGTCTAAATTACAACTAATTTTTTAGCAGACAGTGAGAGATGAAGACACAAAATCACCCATCACAAATAATGACATGCCCATCATTTCTAAAGCTTACATATGACTCTAAACCTGCTTTCCATCAGTCATCTCAACGCAGACTGAAAGCTTGCCTGTTATACTGTTGACTTGGTGTGTTGATGAACCCTAAAAACACAGTGCGAGCGCACACTAGGGTGATTCCATGACAGTGGAGCTCCACAAACACAACTTGAGAGCTTCCAGGAACAGAAGGCTGATGCCACAGAGGAGGTGGCGGATACAGTGCTAACAGTACTAGCTTTGTAACAGAAACACTACAACAGGTACAGCTGTTACTCTTTTCGCACAGATATATTATAAAAACCTGTCAGACATCAAATAAAGAGCTCTTCACTGTGGATTTCACAGGGCTGAGACTGGGAAACACAGTTCAGTCACACGTTAAGAGCGGTTTAAATCTCTGAGGGAAACTGTTCTGTGAGTATTTATACCGCTCTGCTGCAAATGTTTTTTTCAAAATGACTCATTAAGATTGTGATCCTCAAAAAACAGAGGGAAATTAAATTGTTTTAATTATAGGCTGTCTTTTAGAACACCATTTGTGAAAATGATAACTCATACCTTTAATGGATGTACGTAAAAGCATCAAACCCTCCCAATGCCTAACCCCTCTAGGTCAAGGTCATGGACGGATTTCAATTTTCATCCAGTCTGAGTGCCTGTAAATTTGTCTTCATGGCCAGCCATGCTCACACACAAAAGATGCATCCAGAGGTGCAGCCCACAGAGAACACACTCCACATGTGGGATACATCGAGCAATTACCCATCAAACAAATACAAGGGTCTTTTGGTTTGACTGTATCAAAGAAAAACACTTTCTGCAAATTGTGTGTAGCTCTGATTTGGGGATCACAATCAACTGGTACAATGACCAAAAATAGAAAATTGTTGCAATAAGAGAAGCAGCGGGACACAGCAGTGTTTAGTAGCCAGCACAGAGCAGCCAGCAGAGACGCTCCCTGTTTATTCTCTGGCTCTCAGAGTTTAGCTGTGCTGGACATAATACGGGTGAATGATGTCCAGGCCTCCATGTAAAACTGTTTGATATTTATTAAAGACACTAATATAGCCACAATATACACATAAACCTGCACACATTTGCTTAAGAATACATACACAATGCTGATTCCCCCCCCCCGCCTTACTCAAGTGATTTCCCAGAGGGGCTCAAGGAGCTGGGAGCTGTTGACATGTCCTCTTTTTCAGTAGCTGGGTCGTAGCTCTGGTACGATTACCAGAGCCCACGTGAAGTGTTAAAGGGGTTGTCAGCACAGCCATCAGCACACTCAGCGAAAAAAAGTGGGCAAAAGAAACAGAAGTGATACTGGTATTATCAATTTACAGCACACAAACCAGCTGTCTCCAATATGAAACATGCAAACACAAGACACGATGACTGGAACATTACATCATTGTAAAGCTTGTTCTATTCCGTCAAAATACACCTTAGACTGTGCAGTTTATAAGGATTGCTTAAAGGAAAATCCACCCAGACAAAAAAAAACATGTTCAAAAAAACTGCTATTGGCAATGTACCTTACATTTCTGGACAGATTCTTTCCATTCTGCTCTCCTTACATAAGAGATTCAGCGATTGCACAGGTACAAAAGGACAAAATGCAAGGCAGCCACATGATCCTTTGTTGTAAAAATTGGAAAACCATTTAATCTTGCTCTTAGTCCTGATACAGGCCCGTCAGACTGTATCACAGTGCCATTTCTGGCATTTACTGCTCATAAAGTCGCATTCAAAACAACCCGCAAGAACTTGAACTGCTCAGCAACAACACACAAACACTTCGGTGAAGTTGCAATGCATCCTCCAGTTCAGCAGAGCTCTTTTTAAATATTTAAGTCATCATACTTTCAGCGGACCAAAGCCGGACTGGTTCTCTCGTTGCTGAGCAGACACTATGCAGACTCCACCAAGAACAAAAGTGGAGACTCTGCTGTAATCTGTTGCACGTCACTCATGTGCTCGCTGTTTCTCAAGGGGCAGCAGCAGTTCGTTTTGAAGTCATCCTTTCAGTAAATTCAAAGGAACAATTCAGCCCCGTGCCTCATGAATGAAGGATTAAGTGACTTGTCAACTGGGTGAAATGAACACCACTAGAGGCAGACGTGAAGCCATTGCTTGTTTTAATTAGACACCTTGTTTTTAGACACCTTGTTTTCTGTTTTCTTTTTAATTGTGTCTTAACTGTCTTAACTGTCCAAAACTCAAAAGAGATCTAATTTGGATTATTAAAAGAAGAAGTCCTGCAAATCCTCATATTTGAGGAGCTGAAACCAGTAAATGTCATCCATTTTCTTTGATAAATAACTGTTGATTCATTTTCTGTCAATTGACTAATCAATTAATCATTTCAGCACTGGACCCCACTCCCTTGTTTATGGGCTGGAGGGGGAAACCTGTAATCAAACCAGACATCCCTGTGTGTTACTGGACTAACTCCTGGAGAACAAACTAAAAAGAAATCCTCAATTTATTTGGGACCATTGGGTCGCCTGGTGGGACCCCGGACCCCAGCTTGTACAGCACTACACTAAACCCTTCACAAAAGTGCTCTGGCGGGTATGAGGCAGCAGCAGTTTACGACAGGTGCAGGACACAGATCAATATGGCACAGTATTGACGTGCATGCATGCTGCATTTCAGTGCAGCTCCCAATCCCATGGCGCAAAGTGCGTGCCTGAGCGCGCGCGCGCCCGCTTGTGTGTGTGTGTGTGTGTGTGTGTAAAGTGGTTGAAATCAAGTGCAACTGCAGAGGATCCAATATCCTTACGATCCACTGAACAACAATACACGTGCAGGCTGGTCCATCTGCATTGCACAAGAGCGCGCTCTGCTTTACTTCCCCATATTTACTCCCGACTGGCCCCGCGAGCCACGGCTGAACCGTGAATGCACTTGAAATGAGATGATCTTAAAAGTTTCACTTACCCAAATGAGTGCTCGGGCGTGTTTGAGCCCCTTTAAGCGTGTCAGTGAAAGGGATCCACAGGGCTGTCCCGTTCGGCTGGACGCACGGTGCCGGTTTGGTTCACTCTGCTCACAGCCGAGTAGCACACAGGCATCCGCACGGGCTCCTGTGCTTCAGACGTGTGGCAGGATCAGCTGCTGACCTGAGCTGTGTCCCATGTTTCACACCCTCTCTCTTCCGGAAAACACGGAGAGCCCAGCCTACACGAGCCTGTGTTGTCTACAGTGAAGCCCCTCAGAGTGAAGACACCCAGCGGCTGATGGTACACACAGCCTGCAGCTGGCTGCTGTTGCGATGTGCACACACACACACACACCTATACACACATAAACACACGCACACAGCAGCAGAAGAAGGGCGGCTCACACACACTTTGAGACCGCTTTGTTGCACATCGACCGCGCACGGCTAACCTCAACTTTTATTATTCGACAAGAAATGAAACCATGGGTCCTAAGACCCGCCCTGTTCCCCGCACCATGGCCAGGATCGAGCCATAATTCACTGCTGTGATCCACACTATCACAGTCCACACTGAGAGACACCGCGTTACACACACTGGGAATAAGAGGATGCTTTATAGCCACAGGTGCTACATGTGGAATGTTCTCCTCTGCCCCTCCATTAAAGACTGGATTTACGAGACAGTGGATTTATGGAGGACCAGTCCAGCTAGCGCCTCTGCTGGCCACTTCCTCTTTCATTTCTCAATTGACAAAAATTCAAATGAACGTCTGAGTAATTAATGAAGATAAGCAGAGCTGTCAGTTCAGACTGCAGAGGGTAACAGTCTCATTACTGACTGTACTGCAGTCTGCTCTACATGTTGTACCCGATTGATTAATCAGCTACGGACATCAGAATCAATTGAATTCCCAGTAGATACGTTTAACCTTTATTTCCCCAAGGGGTGTTTGCTGAGGGGTCCTGCAGCTTACATTCAGACTTACATACAGTTCCACTTCTTCAGAGCTTCATGGTGAACTGTAGTCTCCTACTGTTAGACAGTGAGCAGCTCCAGCTCCAGTGGAGGATAGATAACTTCAGACAGAAATAATACAAGCCAGCTGGCTAATACATTCTTCTCTGTGATTCATTTTATGTCATATTAGATGTACAGTATGAGCTTGAAGAACCTAGCAGATATGTTTTAAGACTATAACATTACTCTACTTGGATTAATAATTTGTCTGGTATGAGTTTTACACAAAAAAGTTAATTTTACTTCATATTCAATTCAAGTTAAGAACACAAAGTGCTCCAGGCCATCATTCATAGAGTACAGTCCATTGGGTCCTACAGAAAGGCAACTATTTCTGTTAACTACAAATTTAACAACATATCCATTTGCTGTGATCGATCACTGAGGGGACATATGATAACATATACTGCAACCTGGGGGTTGGGAGCGTATGCAAGGTCGTGAGGCCTTCTTGATTTTAAGTGGTGTAACAAAACTTAAAGAATATACATAGCAGGCCAATATCTCCGCATTTTGTTCACTTCTGTGAAGAAATGTTAATGTAAAGAAGAGTAAATGATGTTAAAACGTCCACACTATTCAAGAGAGAGTTAGAATGTGGATGTCAGTATTAGACTAACACGTGCTGACAATTCTAGCAGGCCTTTGTCAACATGACTCAGTCTCTGAATAAAATACAGTTCATAATGCCACTAAACCCACTTTCCTCCTCTAATCCCATGAACCACCACTTCCCCTCTGAATACTACAACTGTGTGTTAACAATGACAGAGAGACATTGTTATTTTTCCCCATAACAGCATCACTGTGAACATTCTCACTTAGATACACCTGCAATCTGTTCATGAGCACTCAGACATTAACCAGCGGTGGAGGAAGTACTAGCAGTAGATCATTTACTAAAGTAGGCTCCTAGTACCACACTGTAACAATACTAAACAAATGTTACTTCAGTAAAAGTAAGTAAGTATAATCAGGAAAATGCACTTGAAGTGTGACCCATGTGACTCATTATATCATTAGTTTATCGTTACCCATCCATTCACGTGTAAGCAGCATTCTCCTGTTTTAGTTGTATCAGGTGGAGCT